CGGGAAATCCACAAAAGGATAGGCAACTGGAAAATCATCAGCTTTTATTTTCCACCTGCAGGTTCAAGGACACGCACAAAACAAATTAATATTTATATTTTCAATAAAATGAAGTGGTTAAGGATGCATGAATATTAAAATAGTATTGAAGTATTGTCAGCAGTAATTATGCAGGTTCCTAAGTGGGATGCAGTTGGTAACCAGAATATATATTTAAAAATGTGTGATTTGAGATCTGTAATAATCCATGCATGTCATAATTAAATGGGGGCTAGCTTGTTGCTGACATTTTACCTATAATTCAGGACAAGATGATGAAGGAAAAATGAGATTTCTACTTTAGCCAGTTCTGCTCCTGGGCAGAGTCGTGGTCCTCCACCAAATGGCATCACCTTTTTGGCCATTGCTTTATGATCCTGTCATTAACATGTATAAAAACGATGGAACATAGTAGCTAGATAAAACAAAGAAATTATAGTTTATGTTATATGCTTATCGAGTATTTCCTGGAGCTATATATAATCACAAACAGTTCAAGTTATAGAGATAGCAAAGAATTAAGGAAACTAGAGTTGTTGAAGTAGCGGAGGCTATACGTACAGTCCATCTCCAAGGATTGAACTCCGAAGGATTTTCATGAAGAGTGGGGTCAAAGTGTACCGCGGTAAAGAGGGGAAGCACCTTCCATCCTGAGGGAATGAAATAATCTGCAATAATTGAACCATATCGTTACAATGTTAGAAGATATTTACGTAGCAAACTAGATAAACTAGACTTAATGAAACAACAAATATTAATTAATGTCAAAAACCTTTGAATACAACATCTCGAATGGCTTTGCGGTGGACCAATTTGACTACATTTCCGCATCTCATAGCTTCATGTATAACCTATATGCAAACGTAGCCAGCTTTTGTCATTTTACTCGAGCAAGCATGTGAAAATTTTATGCAGAAAAATATTTACATTATAGGTGAAGTCCATTTTCTGGTAATCTTCCCAGTTCAAGGGTTCTCCATCAGCTTCTTTCCTCTGCCTTATTGCCTGGTGTTCTTCCTGTATCAGAATCCAAAGATAAACCCTTAAGCGTATGTATGCAATATCCATGTACAGGTGGAGTAAGAAAAGAAACAGAGAAAGAAAGATCACCTTTAATCGTTCAAAAACATCGGGTGCATGCCCAAGAAAGTAAACAATTAAAGCTATAAGTGTAGCAGTTGTCTCATAGCCTCCAAGCAAGAGGTCCAAAACTACGCTCACTGTCTCTTCATAGCTTAGGCTCCGTTTCGCAAGAATCACATCCAAGAAGTCTCCTTCCCTATGCCTCGAAATATCTTGTTCCCTTTCTCTTATAATCTCTCTCACAGTCAAAGAGAGTCTCTCTCTAGCCTGAGCACAAGCCATTAACGTTATCATATAAAACGGAGACATTCAACACATCAGCTTATATATATATATATATATATATATATTTGTATGCAACAATTTGTTTACCTTCACAGCTCTGGCATAAGCTGTCCCGGGGATATATATTGGCAAAGACACGAAACCTTTCATGTAGGTTTCAAAATCTTCAAGTATTTTGAAGGCTAGTGGTTCTTCTGGGTCAATACTCAAAAGATGCTTCACCATAAGATTGAGCGTAAACTGTGTTTATACATATCAGAAAATTAATGTACTTAACATTAGTTTATCGGTTTTGCTTTTGTTATTCACATATATAAATGATTATTGAAGTTAATATTATTTCTTCCTTATACCTTTTTAGCTTCCTTACAGAAGGCAATTTCTTTACGATCTTTCCATGAGTCCATCATTGAGACTGTCAGCTTCTCTACTAAAAGAAAGAAGAGTGGAGCTGACTTGGAGGCAGTGATGAAGCTGACAGCAACATTTCTAAGCTTCTTGTGAAGTTCACCGGACGCAGTGATCAAAGACAACTTTCCAACAATGTCAAGCACGGGCTTGGGGTAGTTGGCTTGAAACAGCTTCTCCTCATTCTGAAGTATAAACAAGTTGAGCTCCGGGTCACAGGAAACTATCGCTGGGGAACCAAACAGATGCGACTTGAAAACTTTTCCATACCTGCAATACAAAATCTCAATTCTTGTTACATATTTGATGAAATCAAGCACATAACTCATCAATGACGAAGTTGTTTAGTGACATTACAATTACCTGGAGCAATGTTTCTGAATGAAGCTCCCCATGGAATTCGATCTATGAGGCCTGAGGAAGGCAAGAGTCTCTCCACAGAGGGGCCATCCCATGCTCCCAGGAGGCAAGTTTTTGGATTCTTGTTTTGCAAACAAAAGTGGGATTACAAGAAGAGACATGCATAGTGCCAAGAAGAGAAATAAAATGACCAAGACTAGATCTTCCATTGTACTAATTAACAAAAGCCAGAGGGTTTTGATGTCACCACTCTAGTGATATATCTCTGGCTACTTGGGTTTGTACCTTTTGCTTCAATGTGTGTGTATTTATATATGTTTAAACCAAATCTAAATCTAAATTATGTGTTTTGTTAGAGATTCTGCTTTAATTACAACTTTCTAAAAGGGACAGATTTACAGAACAAGACAAACCTACAGGTTTTGTGTTTTAACTTTTAAACAAAAAGGTCAATTTTTATTAGGAAACTTTGACTGCTTTGCCTTGATGAAACAAAAATAATGTACTTAAAATGTCTGTATTATTAATTATTGTGTAAGGTTAAGAATATCTAGAACTGTCAAATTTTAATTAGTAACACTGCATCGAATTCCTTGGATGTAAATTGACCAATATAACATTGCCAATCTTGTAACTTGAGGCCAAGGAGTAAAATTTTGATTGGTAAAACTAAACTTTTAAATTATTGATAACAAAATAAAATTTAGTCCAAATTAAACAAAAAAAAAAAAAAAAAACTAAAATCAACCGGTGCCACATTATTCATACCAACTCTAATAAATTTATATCACGTCTGGATTTTTAGTAGAATTATGTCAGTAATACCACCGTTGTATTATAGAATTAAATTAATACTAGATAACCTTTTAAGTACATTGGTGTTATTAAAGTACCTATCAAATAAACAAGATGGGTTTTCTTGATCTAGCCAAAAAGGAAAAGATATATTAATTTATCAAGATCTTTTGAGGATTACATTGACTCCAATTCGAAAGAAAGAATGGTACCTACATATACAAAAGTGTTTACGGACATACACATCATGATTCATGAACAAATTTTAAAATAAATTTTGTATGGATTAGAATCGAGTCTTGTTACTATCTAGAAAGGAATCGCCATCATTAAATGTCTTGAATGATCAAAAAGGAAAAACAGTAAGGCAAAGGGGAGACTCACCTAACATTTGCCTACACCAAAAAGTCTAACAAATTTGCTTTTCAACGTCAAACATTCTTCAAGTTTACTCTTCCAAACACAGGAAAAGAAGGTTCTACGATCTTGTTTATTCATTTAATAATGAGAGTAATACTAGGTCCACAACTTAATCTCACAACCTTTTCTAATAACCCCCATCATTAATCAGCTCGCAAAATGGATCATACCTGCTTGTATGGGTCTCATCTGCATATTTACAAGCTCACCAATGACGAACTGTCACGTCAGAAGTTGTAAGAAAAAGTTATGAGATTGAGTTATGCATCAATGAACTTATTCTATTCTTGAATTCATATACCTTTTTCACCTACAAATACAATAAAATGAATGTGGCCCTTTGATGTCTCAAAGCGTTCCCATCTTACGTGCGCCCGTTTTAATCCCTAGACGAAGTGCCTGAGGCTGAACAATGTTATATTGCTTGAAAACAAATATAAAATGGAAGATGGGTTCCCTAAAAGGAGAGCAAAGAGGCAACATACATGGTGAAAATTCAAACCCTGCTTTTTGAAATCAATACAGAATACATGTTTTTTCAAATTAAATTTAAACTTTGATCAAGTTTTTTTTCTGCTTTTAGCGGGTTTGATGTCGATGTTTGTAATAGAAACCCGACCAAAATTTGTGAGCATGCATCATCACAAACAAACACACATTTTTGATTAAGGCTTTTTGGGTTTTCTCTTGTCTCTTCTTATTGATTGCATGATGCACGTGCAATGGGATTTTGACCCTTTAACCATAAATTGGTTGGCATCTTACTGAGAATATCTCTCAACAAGCTGGACATCATTCATTTTGTAATCATGCCTTTAACCCTGTGCCCAGATTCATTTTTTTTCACCTTCAGTGTGGATTTGAATCCCAAATTTACAGTGGGAGTTTATAAGTCTTGAATCCTCTGAACGAGTGTATTTTGAACAGATTTAAGTGGAGGTGTGATCTGTTAGTGCATAGTGAATAAATGAATTTGGACTTGATGAATCATGATATTGCCTGTATGTATATATTATCTGTTTCTCTTTCTCTTTCAAAGAAAAGGTGAAAGAGACACCACCACCCCCACCTCCGGCGGGGCGGGTGGGGAAGTGTAATCATTCAAGACATTCCGTCTTTTTTTTTTCTTTTAAAAAGAGAAGCTCTCTTGATGTGTTTTCATATAAGACCCTGATTGCACGTATGGGCAGACACAAATCATGACTGTTCTTGTCTTCTTTTTGCTTTGGGCCTTTTGTTGAAGTTGAGTTTACATTTGTCTTCTTTAAAAGAAAGACTAATCTAGTGTCTCCTTTTGCTTACAATAAGAGATCTAAAATACATGGATTGAGGTTGTTTTCTCCAGCAGGAATGGGAAAAACTGTGAGCTCCAAAGTAAACTTAACTGCAGCCAACAACAAGGGTTATGTTGGGCCTCCACTACATTTAGCCCATTTTTAGCAATTGTGGGTCACAATTTGTGGCCCAGTTATATTAACAAATTGTGGTCCTAAATTCTAAATGAGCAGCCAGAAACCTAACATGACTACCCTCAGCCACTAACACGTTATCTCTTAAGTTCTAGTACATTATTATGAACTACTCTTAAGAATTGGAGACTGAACTTATTTCTGTTGAACACCAAATCACAACATAAGCATATATTTTAATATATTATACGAATTTTAATAAGCATTAAACTGTCATCAACGCTTGGGAACCTCATAGCTCTTAGCCCACAAGAGGAAAATTGTCTTTGTACCTTATCTTTTTGATGGTCCATTTGGTGACTCCACCAATCTAAACCATATGATCACCATTCCTCACAGCTGCCACAAGTCATGGCCACCATCTTTTCCAAGTACCAGCTCAAAATCCTGCGCTTCTCTTCTATTCACAGCCCAAAACTATCGACCAAAAATTGCAAACACTTTAAATGAGAACAATGAAACAAAACAATCATCAGCAGGCAGAATCAAACGACAGGTTTTAACCAAAGACGGTAGAACCAAACTCGACGCCTTCTCGGATAGAGAATTCTATGCATATCCTCGGTTTGTGACCCATGTGGATGATGGTTTCATTACCACATTGACCAATCTTTACAGGCAACGTTTGAGGCCTGGTTCGGAGGTTCTTGACCTCATGAGCTCATGGGTCAGCCATCTACCTAAAGAAGTCATGTACAAAAGAGTAGTTGGACATGGACTCAACGCACAAGAGCTGGCAAAGAATCCTCGGCTGGACTATTTTTTTGTGAAGGATCTTAATCAGAATCAAGAACTTGAGTTCCAGGATGGCAGTTTTGATGCAGTGTTGTGCACTGTCAGTGTGCAGTATCTTCAACAGCCCGAGAAGGTAAGAATTGGGGTTCAGTTACAGAGAACTAAATCTTGAATTGCATAATTTGACAAATATAAATACAAATTACAGGTGTTTTCAGAAGTGTTTCGGGTGCTAAAACCAGGAGGAATATTCATTTTGAGCTTTAGCAATAGAATGTTTTATGAGAAAGCCATCAGTGCGTGGAGAGAAGGGACTGCATACAGTCGGGTACAATTGGTTGTGCAGTATTTCCAATGTGTTGAGGGATTTACACAACCAGAAATTGTTCGAAAATTACCAGAGGCTGCTGGTGCTGCTCAAGAGGAACAATCGCCATTCAAATGGTTTATGAGGCTGATGGGATTATTGTCTGGCTCAGATCCTTTCTATGCAGTCATCGCTTACAAGAACTTTAAGCCTGTATAAGAATGAAATAAGTATTACTATGATTATAACAATATTGTACGTAGTATATTGCTTTTGCCTTACCAAATTGGATTTGTTGTTTTTTTCTTGATTCCTTTGTGGATTACTTCTGTTATCTGTCTCCAAGTTAAAAAGGGAAAACCAAAAACTCATTAGTATCTTAAATTAATATTTTACAAAAAGTACTCTATATTCCATTCTTGATTCTCTTTAAAAACACTTTTTAAGAGATAGGTTTATTTGTCAAATCACTGTTAGATAGTCAATAGTCAATCTTTTAAGTGTATTATTTAAAAAGTTTTGAATTCGATTTACCTCCGTCCTTAAGAAGGATGGTCAATTCAATGAAGGTTTGCGTGATCGTTATCTTCAAAACCTCAAAAAATTAATTAAGATGTACACAAACTAATCTAGATACCTGATCATCAATATATATTTGCCTTAAATTTTCATTTGCTAAAACGAATGGATTGATTCATGATGGCTCAAGACCAATAAAGATCTAACGAACAACATAATCACATAATCAAAAAATATTTTCCGGCGATGAATGAGTTAATTGAGAAGATTAAAAAGAAGGGAAATTTGGTTTATAAATTTAAAAAAAAAAAAAAGTTGTAATTCAATAAAAAACGACATCGCTTATAAACAACTTGTTACTTGACTTCTACACCTACTTAATACCCTTATCGGTTTTATCACTTCTCGATTAGTCTCTCTCTCTCTCTCTCTCACAGTCTGAAGAAACAAGAGAGAAGACCATGTCTTGTTCTTCAGCCACTCCGCTTTCAAAGCATTTGCCAATGGCTAAAACCTATTTGACTTCTTTACCAATAACCCTTTTCACTAAAACCCATAACCCATTTCTCTCACTTTCCTTTAAAAAACCCATAAACCTCTCTTTGTCAGCTGCTTTTCCTTCATGGGTCTCTCTCCAAAACCCCAACAAGTTCTCTTCTTTACACATAATCCCACTCGTGGCTCAGACCTCAGATTGGGCCCAACAAGAAGAAGAAGAGGAAGAGAATTTGAGTTGGGATAATCAAGAAATTGAGGGTTCTGTTGATGGTGAAGAGAGTTTTGGTGGTGGGAGTGAAGAAGAGGAGTATAGAGAGCCGCCCGAAGAGGCTAAGTTATTTGTGGGTAATTTACCTTATGATGTTGATAGTGAAAGTCTGGCTCAGCTTTTTAACCAGGCTGGTGTTGTTGAGATTTCTGAGGTACACAGTCTGTCTTTTTTTTTTTTCTTTTTTTTTTCTTTTTTTTTTAATTGTAGGAAGGGATTTTTATTTTTTATTTTTTAAGGGTTTGACTGTTGTTTTATGGTGCTTTTGTTGAAGGTTATTTATAATAGGGATACTGATCAGAGCAGAGGATTTGGTTTTGTGACAATGAGTACTGTTGAGGAAGCTGAGAAAGCTGTGGAGATGTTTCACCGTTATGTGAGTTTCTTCTTCTCCTTTCCCTTTTGGATTAATACATTTATGAATTCTGTTTATAGCAATATGTAATGTTAAAAGTCCGAATGGGTTGTATTTTCATGTCTCTAGTTCCAATTGTGCAAAGTTCCAGTCGGCAAACAATCTTGATTCATTCATCTTTATGTCAAAGTTTCAGTTGGAATGTTCCCTGAGTGTTAAAGAGTGTCAGTTCTAGATCCTTTGCACCTAATAACCTCTATTGGACTATTGTTTTGCTCATATTTTACTGAGGCTTTTTTAGTTTATATTTACTGAGGCCTCAAAATTCTGAGGGCGGTTCAGTTAGATTGCAATTCTGGGAGAGTTTGGGCTAGGCAAATTTACACAGAACACAAATGATCCCGTCTCATTCTAATAGCACACCAATATTAGTCTAGATATTATTTCCCTTCAGGACTAGAACAACTTGCCATGAAAGCTAGTTGTTAATAAATAGATAAAACAGTTATATATAGGAGAATTCTCGATTTGAACCTGAATAAACTCAAGCTTTTATACAAAATAATTATTAGACGTTAATGACAGGTAGTCAGATAATCTGCATATATAGTTTAATCAATAATTCTCAGTGCAGGTTATGTTTTCAATAATACCACTAGGTTTGAAAGGAAACTCTTGTAGTCTCCTCCTAAATTGGGCTGGCTAATAGACATGAAATTCTCTCTCTTAATGCATACGAGGGACAGGGCATGTCTAATCAATTATTGCATTAGTCTCTCAACTATTTGTACCAATATCATTCAGACACTCAGGATTTTGCTATTGCTTTGGTTTTCTTGAACAGGATTTAAATGGAAGACTTTTAACTGTAAACAAGGCTGCTGCTAGAGGGTCGCAGCCGCCAAGACCTCGAGTTTATGAAACTGCTAACAGAATCTATGTTGGTAATCTGCCATGGCAAGTAGATGATGATCGTTTGGAGCAAGTCTTCAGTGAATATGGAAAGGTGGTGAATGCCAGGGTAGTTTCTGATCGGGAAACAGGACGTTCACGTGGGTTTGGCTTTGTTACAATGTCTAGTGAGACGGAAGTGAATGATGCCATTGCTGCGCTTGATGGACAGGTAAGATTCCTGCCCTGTTTCATATAGACATTGAATCTTTTATTTCCTTCTTTATGTGGATCAGCTAGTCTCACTGCAATGATCATACAAAATCATTGTTGGTTATCTTGTTAATATCATTTTGGGAGGTCATTTTGAAGGGTGGAGGTTATATTCAGATTGTGAATACCATTTCAGACAAGGTGGTAGATAGAATTTTATATACATGAGCTCATTGTAGTTGAATGTTCTCATAACCGCTTTTTCCTTTAATTTAACCTCTCCTCTGGAACACATCAACTCATTGTGGTTAAAATTTAGCTCCTAACTGTGTTTGTATAGGATCTAAATTCTTGATTTTCGATGACTGACAATTGGCATGAAATTTGTTCTGCAGAGTTTGGACGGCAGGGCAATTAGAGTGAATGTTGCCGAAGAACGACGAAGGGGCTCTTTTTAGATCTGCGAGGAGATAACTCTTAAATGAGTCCATTTGTAACTCTTCGCCTCGACATATTCCTTTCGAAAAGGAGATTGTAGCTTTTCTATATCTGTTTTAGTTCTTTCTTTTTTTTTTCTTTTTTTTTTTTTTTTTTTTTCCATACTAGTGAAGAGTTTTGAAGTAGATTTGAAAATTTTTCATGTTCCAAGTTTTCTTCCCTTTATTCCCCTGTTGAATAATAACGAAACACCATTGGAATTACACATAACTGCAAGTGCAATTATCATTTTCTTTTTTCTCTTATTGATAGACCACCCATTAGCTAGATCTATAAATGGAAAGGCAAGAATAGGCGTAAAGGGCAGTGAGTGTGAAGAGGCAATGAGTGTGGAGACTCTGAGGGAGTCTGTTATAAGAGTATAAACGTGGCTGATATTTAGAGGAGATATAGTCAAGAGAGAGAGTAGGACGTGATTATCAAGTAAATTCTTCATAGGTCATTAAGAGAGCCTCCCCAGCTCCTCGAACTGTTGAGAATCTATCAGTTGAGTTCAATTGTTATTTCAATCCTTTATTAATACTATTTCAGTTATATCAGAGTGTGTATTTTGTTTGCTGTTGCTCTTGTGTGTATTGTGGTTGGTGTTTGGATTTATTTCACACGATGCTGTTGAAGGAGTTGCGTGAAGAAATATTAATGGGTGTCTTTGTCAATCAGCTTAAAGAGGAGATTAGAGTTGAGTAGAGGTTGTTAAGGCCCAATTCACTTCAAGAGGTTATTGAGCAGGCTTATAGGGTGGAGGAAAAAAATTGGGCTCTTGAAAAATGTTGGCCCAAGTTCTTTAAGGCCCAAGGGATAAGAGAGCCCTATTCTAGAGTATCCAGCAGCCCATATCTAACCTGGCTTGTTTGGTGGCCCAACTCATCAAAAAACCCAAAAACCTTCCACTTTACGACGACATGACCACCAGATAGGAGAGAGAGAACGTCAGAGACAGGGGCTTCAAGCTTTAGAGGAGAGAATTTTCGACATCTTTCGGAGGTTGATATCCAGTATAAGAGGGAAAGGGGACTTTGTTTTCGATGTGATGAAAAGTTTGACCCAAATCATCACTATAAGAGCAAGTTATTATAGATTATGTTGGCATGGGAAGATGATGACTTTGAGAAAGTTGAACCCACTCTTGACGACAATGAGATACCCAACTTGGAAGGTAATGCTTTGGCTCTATCTATGAATTCTATTGTGGGTATAATTCTGACAAAACCTTGAAGGTTAGAGGGCAAATTGGGGACACTGATGTGGTGGTGCTGGTTGACAGTGGGGTATCCCATAATTTTATTTCCTATGAGTTGGTGCATAGGTTGGGAATTTTGGTTGAAAAAGGGAAGTTGTTTGGAGTTATGGTGGGCAGTGGAATCACGATGAAGGGTGACGGGGTGTGTAAAAGGGTTCATTTGGAGGTATAAGAGGGTTAGAATTGTGCAGGATTTTTTCCCTTTTGAGTTAGGAGGTGCTAATGTTGTATTGGGTGTTACGTGGCTGGGTTCATTAGGCGATTTGTGTGCCAATTGGAAGAATTTGACAATGAAATTTGAGGTGGATGGTGCTAGAGTTAGCTTACAGAGAGATCCCTCTTTGGTGAAGACGGTGGTTTCCCTTAAATCCATGTTACGGTCAATTAGTAAAACAAGGGGAGGATACTTGGCGGAATGTTGTTTGATTGAGGGTAGGATAGTACCAAAAGAAGAGCATGTCGATCCTAGAGTTGTAGCAGTTTTGGATCAGTATACACACCTATTCAATTAGCCATCCAAACTACCCCCACAACGTCCTCAAGACCATGCCATAACCCTTAAAGAGGGAGCCCAACCCCCCAACATTAGACCTTATAGGTGCCCCTATTTCTAGAAAAAATGAAATTGAAAAGTTGATGGAAGAGATGTTAGCAACAAGAATTATCCAACCTAGTACTAGCCCATTCGCCAGCCCGGTATTGTTAGTCAAGAAAAAAGACGGAAGTTAAAGGTTTTGTGTAAACTATAGGGCTCCCAACGAAATAACCATCCTCGACAAATTCCCTATTCCTACCATCAAAGAGTTGTTGGACGAATTAGCGGGAACAACAATATTCTCTAAGTTGGATCCTAGGTCGAGGTACCACCAAATTAGAGTCAAGGAGGACGACATTCCCAAAACAACATTTTGAATGCATGAGGGACACTATGAGTTCCTCGACATCCCTTTTGGCTTGACCAATGCCCCCTCCACATTTCAGTCACTGATGAACACCATCTTTAAGCCAATCATGCGGAAGTTTGTGTTGGTTTTTTTTTTAATGATATTCTCATCTACAGCTTGGATTTGGAGTCCCATTTAACACACCTCCGACAAGCCCTTCGCATATTGGAAGAGAATAACTTGGTAGTAAATAAGAAGAAATGTTTATTTGGGCAGTAGAAACTAGAGTACTTGGGTCATTTGATTTCAACTAAAGGTGTAGAGGCCGACCCCCGGAAAATTGCAGCTATGGTTTCTTGGCCAATTCCAACAAGTGTGAAGAGTTTACGTGGATTTTTAGGGCTAACGGGGTACTACCGTAGGTTCGTTAAAAGGTATGGGAGTATAGTTCAACCACTCACTATGTTGCTCAAGAAAGACTCTTTTAATTGGAGTGGGGAGGCATAATAGGCCTTTGAAAATCTTAAGGAGGCTATGACCTCTGTCTCGGTTTTGGCAGCCCCTAATTTTGAGATTCCTTTTGAGGTGCAAACAAATGCGTCAGGCCAAGGCATGGGGGTAGTCTTAGTCCAACAATCCCATCTCATTCCTTGCTTGAGTAAGGCATTTTCACCCTAAGCTAAATAGATATCAGTCTATGAGAGAAAGTTAATGGTCGTCATCTTTGCGGTGCACAAATGAAGTCCTTACTTGTTTGGTTGGAAGTTCATTATCAAAATTGATCAAAGAAGTCTCCAATTCCTCAAGGATCAACAGATTAGGACTCCGGAGCAACAAAAATGGTTGTCCAAGCTGATGGGTTTTACGTTTGACATCCATTATTGGCTGGGAACCACCAATAAGGTAGCTGACGCCTTATCCAAAAGAGAGGAGGGACCAAAACTGAATTCTCTATCAGTGATCCAGTTTGTAGAATATGAGGACTTGGCAAATGAAGCTCAACAAGATCCCAAGCTTCAACACCTTATTCAGGACCTGATTATGGATCCAAACAGCTGACCCCATTACAAGCTCCGCCCTAATTGTTTATTATACAAGGGCAGTTTTGCCTAAGGGCTCACAGTTTATTCCTAAGTTATTGACTGAATTTCATTCAAGTCTAGCAAGGGGTCATTCTGGATTCTTTTTTACGTACAAAAGGGTGGCAAACGTGGCTTATTGGGTAGGCATTAAGCATAATATTCATAATTTTGTGAAAACTAATTCCATATGTCAAGTTAAGAAGCATTCAACTCTGAGACCTACGGGGCTGCTTCAGCCTCTACCCATTCCGTCTCAAGTATTCGATGATTTGACGATGGACTTCATTGGCGGCCTTTCCAGGGCCAAGGGGTTCGATAACATTTTGGTGGTAGTAGATAAACTGACCAATTACAGCCATTTTCTTCTCATATCCCACCCTTACAATGTCAAAGAGGTGACCTTGGTTTTTATGAAGGAGATTGTGAAATTTCATGGCTTTCCAAAGTCCATAATTTCTGACAGAGACAGACTTTTTATGAGCCAATTTTGGCAGAAAATCTTCAGAGTTTTCAGGATAGCTTTGAAATTCCGTTCCGCTTACCATCCCCAAACGGATGGCCAATCCGAAGTGGTGAATAGATGCTTAGAGGCATATCTACGTTGTTTCTGCAGTTCACTGCCCCATCACTGGCCAAATTGGTTGTCTTGGGCTGAATTTTGGTACAACACTACATATCATTGTTCAACCAAGATGACTCCCTTCAAAGCTCTATACACTCGTAACTAGGGGTGTTCGGTTCCGGATACCCTGTATTTTTTGAAGGAACCGGAACCGGAACCGACGGTTCCTTGAAATTTGGAACCAGAACCGGAACCGATGGTTTCAGTTCCTAGGTACCAAGAACCAGAACCTGTAACAATGGTTTTGATTCCGGTTCTGGGTACCCTGTAAAATTACATGACCCCTCAAAAGTTTTTAAAATGAAAAAAAAAAAACCCTTAAAAACTTACAAATACCCCCCCACCTGACACTTGTTAACAAAATTAAAATTACAAATTATAAATTCAAAATTACAAACTCCATTACTTTGTAAAGGTAGATTCTCAAAAGTCAAACCAACTTACTTTAAATGTTATGAAATATAAATATAAATGTATTCATATTACTTTTTCTACAAAAGCTTTTATTAACCCCCCTAATCTTTAATTTTATTTTATATTACTCTCAGTTCCATGTTCTTGGTTCCGGTTCCTAACTATAGGAACCGAAACCGAAATCAGAACCGCATAATAACGATTACAAAAATTTGGAACCGAAACCTACCCGTTGACGGTCGGTTCTGGGTCATTGTCAAGTGGGACCAGACAGCTAGGCGAATTAGCACATTCTTTTAGCTCGGACAAAGTCTTTCTTCTTTGCTTTGATTAGTGATATGGTTCAGTAGAGGAAAGGAAGAGGAATGTCAGTAAAGAAATATCTTCCCGTAACCATAGGAATATAGCTCCATATAGGAGCTTCTTGAAAGAAGTTGTTCCAAAGACTTTAATCAGATGAAAGTGTTAATTCCCCCTTCTTCTCAGAAGAGAAGAAGAGAATGAGAATGGATCGATGGATGACCATTTGTTCTTAAGAATTCGGAACCCAATCATATCGAAGGGGAAGCAAAGCAGCAGGCAGGCAAGGCAAGGGAAGAGATATGGATTGCACCGAAAGTAATGCCCTTCGGAGTGCATTGCTTGGGCTAAGTCAAAGTTGCGGATCTCTTTTTCTCTCCTCCTTGGGAAAGACACTCCCACATCATCTGCTGTCTCGCAAAGAACCAACCCGACTGACCTAGTGGATAAATCAGGAATACAGAAAGAAAAACAGCAATTGGACCAGAGAATGCTATTGCATTATAAGGCCACAATTGAACAGATCGAGCAAGTTCAAATTGATGCTTACTGG